TACTTATTCCTTCTTCTAAGTCTTCTACCTATTTCTTCTCTCCACAAGTTACCCCTCCATTATATCCTTCTTTTACAAGTGTGAGTGGTGTTGTTGGCCAGTTTGTTGGTATTTGCAAGAGGAGTTGCGACGGGTGTTAGATCAGGATTGTTGTGGTAGACTATTGGTTTGCATGTTCTTTAGAGCACCTTACTTTCCTATTTTATCGATACATTTATGGTGACCACTTGTTGGTTGTTCTGAGGGTATTTTCTTTAATTTAAGTTTTTGTTTATTTATAAAGCTGTTTAAGTTTTTGCATATGGTTGGATTTTTGTCAGCGGTTTGTTCACTTATTTTTGGATTGAGTTGTGTCCTGTTTTCTCTTAAGTGTTCTCCTTTGATTTTAGAACTTTTTGGATCACATCAATTTCAGAACCAGTAGGGGAGAAGACTTCTATGAGCAATTCTTTGCCTTGACACGAGAGGGGACCATAGCAGAATACCGTGGCAGGTTCGAGTATCTGGCCAACAGGCTAGACTGACTTTCAGAGGCAGTGCTAGAGGAAAATTTAAAAAAGGGCTTAAACCGGAGATCCAAGCAGCAGTTAGAGTGATGAGGCCACATGACTTGGGGGAGGCCATGGAGCTAGCACAGTTGGTGGAGGACCAGAAGTATCTGGAGAAGGGGCGCGTGGGGGGGAGGAGGGGGGGGCAGGGGGGGGGGGGGGGGGGGGGGGGGGGGGGGTCATATAGGAAGACCACCACCTTCTTAGCTCCCAAGGAGCTTGCACCAAGGAGTTTGAGGGAAGTATCAAAGGAGAAAACTGGAATAGGGATATATGAGGGAAATTTCAAGAAGCTTACTGAGAACAAGATAAAGGAGAAGAGGGCAAGGGGTTGTGCTTTAGATGTGACGAGAAGTATATGTCAGGGCATAGGTGTAAGGACCGAACTCTTGAGGATCTCACCGTCTGTGATAACGAGGAAGCTGAAGAGGGAGGTGAGAGTGGGCTAGTGGTAGAGAAAGAGGAGAAGTTGCATTTGGATGTGGCAGAAGTCTATCTAAACTCAGTAGAGAGATTCACCCCGAATCACATCATGAAAGTTAAGGGAGAAATAGCTGACAGAGAGGTGGTGGTGCTGATCAACAATGGGGCAACCCACAATTTTATCTCTAATTAGACTGTAGATCTGTTATGGGTGAAATTAGTGGATACTAGGGGCTACAGGGTGATGATGGGTACGGGAAAGGTGGATATGGGTAGAGGAATATGTATGGGAGTAGTGCTGACTATTCAAGGGATCTAGGTGAGGAAAAACTTTCTCTCATTGGAGTTGGGGAGCACTGATGCCATCCTAGGGATGAAGTGGCTACATACCTTGGGGGATAACAAGGTCAATTGGGGAGCACTGAGGATGGAGCTGGTGGTAGGGGAAGGAGGATGGTGATTCAGGATGGCATCGGGCTGTCCAAGGCTGGGGTATCTCTCAAATCTCTAATCAGGACCAAGCAGGAGGTGGGAGGAAAATTTTTGGTAGAGTTGCAACACTTGAAAGGGGTTAGACTAGAGGATAAAGAAGACATTCATACTTTAGTTCAGCCACTCATACACTAGTTCTGTGAAGTTTTTCGACCTCCCCAGGGCCTACCTCCACAGAGAGAGCCGGAGCATACCATTACCTTGAAGGAAGGGGTGTCACCGATCAGTATTTGGCCGTATCGCTATCCCCAGATTAAGAAGGATGAGATTGAAAAGCTGATCCGTGAGATGTTGGAGGCGGGGATAATCAGGCCAAGTGTGAGTCATTTCTCTAGTCCAGTCTTATTAGTCAAGACGAAGGATGAGAGCTTGAGATTTTGTATGAATAATAGAGCCTTGAACAAGGGGGCAGTGCCAGATAAATTCTCAATTACTGTGATTGATGAGCTCTTAGATGAGCTGTATGGCGCAATGGTATTTTCCAAGTTGGATTTGAAGTCAGGCTATCACCAAATCAGAATGAAAGAGGCAAATGTTCAGAAGACGACTTTCAGGACACACGAGGGACACTACGAGTTTCGGGTGATGCCGTTTGGGCTTACTAATGCCCATGCTACTTTTCAGTCCTTGAGGAACAGGGTGTCCCGGTCGTACCTCCAGAAGTTTGTCTTGGTTTTTTTTATGACAAACTGGTGTACAACAAGATTGAAGAGGAGCATCCGAAGCAATTGAGGGTGGTTTTAGGAGTTCTGTAGGAGTATCAGCAAAGAGACAACCTAAAGAAGTGCAACTTTGCACAGGCTAGTGTAGAGTACTTGGGACATGTGGTATCCCAGAAAGGAGTGGCGGCTGATCAAACTAAAATTGAGGCAATGTAGAAGTGGCCCTTACCTAGGAACCTGAGGGAGTTTAGGGGTTTCCTAGGATTGACTGGCTACTACCGAAGATTCATGAGGGAATACAGTAACATAGCTTAGCCCTTGACCGAGCAACTGAAGAATGATAACTTCTTATGGGCAGAGACAGCGACCCAGGCTTTTGAGAGACTGAAGAAAGCCATGACTACAGTCCCATCTTTAACTCTCCCTGATTTCAATCAGATTTTTGTAGTGGAGACTGATGCGTCCGGATATATGTTGAGAGTCATGCTCATGCAGAACCACAGACCTATAGCATACTACAGTCAAGTACTGTCAGCCAGAGCTAAGCTGAAGTTGGTATATGAGAAGGAATTGATGGCCATTGTGTTAGCTATTCATAAGTGGCGCCCTTACCTGCTAGGTCGGCATTTCATTGTCAGAAAGATCAGAGAAGCTTGAAATACATATTAGAGCAAATGATGGTGACTGAGAACCATCAGAGGTAATTGTCCAAACTACTAGGCTATGATTTTGAGATCCAGTATGGGCTAGATTTTGAAAATAAGGTGGAAGATGCCTTATCCAGATGTGTTGGGAGCTCTAAGAGATGGCAATTTTAGTACCACTTATGGTAGATTATATCAAAGAAGATAGTATGCAGGATGAGGAGTTGAGGAAGATTAGGAAGGATTTGATGAATGATGCGAGTAGCCATCCAAGGTATTCACTGAAAGGGGAGAGACTATTACAACAAGGGAGGTTTGTGATGCCACGATCATCTATCCATATTCCCCACCTACTGCGGGAGGTCCATAGGAGTGCAATTGGAGTCCATTATGAGGTACATAAGACATACAAAAGACTAACTGTTGAGTTATGCTGAAAGGGAATGCATAAGGATGTGGAGAAGATGGTAGTGGGGTTTGAGATGTGCTAGAGAAACAAGTACATGGTTATGGCTCTAGGGGGGTTACTACAACATTTAGCACACTTCCAAACAAGGTATGGGAGGAAGTGTCCATGGATTTCATAGATGGTATACCATGATCGGAGGGGTTCAAAGTCATTATGGTGGTGGTTGACATGCTGAGTAAGTATGTGCATTTCAATCCCTTACGACACCCCTACACCGTCGTGACAGTGGTGGCAACATTCATCAGGGAGGTGGTTGATCGAGACAAAGTGTTCCTTAGCCAGGTTTGGAGGGAGCTATTCAGGTTGCATGGTACAATTATCAAGAGAAGCACCGCCTACCATCCTCAGACGGACAAGCAAACGGGAGTTTGGAGACTTACTTAAGGTGTTTTTCTTCTGAAACACCACGGATGTGGGCGAAGTTATTAGCATGAGCCGAATATTGGTACAATACATCGTACCAGTCTGCTTCTCAGATGACTCCTTTTAAAATGCTATATGGAAGGGATCCCCCACACTTTGTGCATTTTGGGCAAGAAAGCACACTAGTCTCAGTGGAGCGGTACTTGGTGGAAAGGGATAGGGCGTTTGAGAAATTAAAGAGGCACCTGTTGAGGGCACAATAAATAATGAAGAAAGCATATGCGCATAGAAGGGACATCAGTTTTGAAGTAGGGGAGATGGTGTTCTTAAAACTGCAACCCTATAGGCAGAAGGCAGTGGCCCACAGGAGAAACGTGAAATTGGCTCCAAGGTATTTTGGGCCTTATGAGATAGTGGAAAGGATTGGAGTTGTGGCATACATGTTGAAGTTATCCCCGACCGCTAACATAGACCAGTATTCCATGTGTCACAGTTAAAGAAAGCTATAGGGGAGCATGCAGTCAGTGCAGAATTACCAGCAACACTGACGGAGGAGTTGGAATTGATTTTAGAACCACTGGAGCTAAAGGAGGTGAGATACAGCAAAGAAGGGAACAAAGAAGTGTTGATAAATGGAGGAGCTTTCCTTATTTCGATGCCACTTGAGAACCGTATGAGATGGTGAAGCACCAATTTCCTTCATTTCACCTTGAGGATAAGGTGAGTCTTTGAGGGGGGAGTAATGTTAGGCTGGCCCAAAGGGGGCCAGCTGAACCGGTCCAACCTGGACCAATTCTCACCTACAAGAGGCAGACCAAAGGAGGCGAAACCAACAGAGATGGAGCGGCTTGAGTAGAGGGACCCACAGACTAATGATGTTTAGGATTGGAGTTAAAGTTCAAATTAGGGGTTGTTTAGAGATTAAGAAAATTTTTTGTCTTTAACTGCTTTCTTCATGTTAAGGTTAGGGTTATCTTGAATTTGGGATCTTGTGTGGTGTTTGGGCTCTAGTTTTTGAAGGGTTGGATCTTCCTCTCAAATTGAAGATTCTTGTATTGTTTGATATTTTTCTTATTCTTTTGCTGAATTGGAGGTTTTATATTGCTGTTTTCTCTTCTATGTTTGGAATTTCTGCATCAAAGTTGCTGATTTTCTCTGAAATTGAGCAAATTCCCGCTCTTGTGGTATAGCTATTTTCCAGAGCACTACTAGCATGGCACCAGAAAGAACCACTCTTCACAAAAATATACCAGCGGATTTATTAATTATGTTTGAACCATGATTCTTGTTTTTTTTTTTCCTGTGGAAAATGAGTTTGTAAATAATATAGAGTTTCCTTCCACAAATTTGACATTTGATGCACGGTAAACAAAAAAAAGATAACAGATAAAATGCTTACCAAGGCCAGGAGAGCTTAACAAGCTGTTCATAAGTATTGTATCATATCCAACAAAACTGTTAATAAGAAGTTGCTTCCACCTAGTAAAAATTAGAAGAAAATAGCATTCATGCAGGTCAATACCATAGCTGCCCACAAGGTAAACGAAGACAATTTTGTTTGAATTCATTTCATAAGCTTTAAGACAATGGTCAACAGGATGAAAATAAGAAAAAAAATTATTTGAAAGGGAAAATAAAAAGAAATCCCCAAAGATATGACAACCAATGGGATGCTGAAGTGCTGAACCACTATAAAATTTCATATTCAACAAAATGAATAGCTAATCTCACATGAAATTTGTGAAGGTCAAGAGCGAGCATCATTCTACGAGTACTACTTCCTAACTGCTACTTAATGAAAACAAGTGACTCCAAGAAATAGTACAACAAACTCTACGCACCAAAATATTGGTAGAAGTAGTCCAAAGAAATGTCGTTCAGTAGCAACAAACCAAAAAATACGAAGTCTGATTTTTTCACACGAGCCACTTCAATGCAGATAGCATAGAGTTAATAAAAATCAGGGAGAGTTGTACTTGTACACATTTCTTGATAAATGCCTCATCGTGATTAGCAATCAACTATCATTACGTGGAGATGCATAGTGATGGAAATAGCCACAAGAAAATTTAAGATGACCCTATACGACAGTATTTCTAAAAAATATCATTCATTTGTTTCAATTAACACCCTATCACGCTTCTTTAGTTCTTTCTTAGGCATTGCATATTAGTTTTTGGCTTAACATCATTACCAGGTATCTCACAATCCAAACTTCCTAAGCGTGTAACTGGTTGGCTAGTTTCGAAATGCGGTTTTACTGTCAAAATATTAGCGTTGGCATGATCAAAGTATGTTGAAGCCAAATTGTTCCAAATTATGAACACTAGGAGTGATAAAATTGGTATTTAACTACGGTAAAAAAAGATAACATGGAGTATTATTCTTCCATTATAAACGTGTCATGGTGCAGGCATAAACAGGGGGTGGAAAGATCTAAAATGTTATCTATCAAGAGCTCCAAAGCAACGTCATATAAGTTGACGATTGATATCAATATAGTTGTCTTCATGCATGATGGGTACTTAGACTTCAAAGTTCCAATGCTCTAATAAATTGGTTCAGGCAATAAATTGAGCAGTTCTCAACCACCCCACATTCTAAACCATACTTAAATGTTTTCTCTAATAAACTTATAATGTATTTTCTATACCCACAGAATGATTTAGATCGATGCAGAAAGATACACTATATTAACAGAAATAACAATCTCGTTACAATTCTTCAAAAATATTCATAAAGGAATCCAAGCGGTACAGTTGCACATAACAAACTCTATCAGATTCCAGTCGTGTGTGGGGAATGCCAATAAAAATAAAATAAACTAAAAAATTATGATTTCATGGCACGTTTGATAAGTTCATAATATCAGCCAAAGCATCGTTTAATGCAAGACAATCAGCCATGCATGTCATGAAAAATTATAATCTATGAATGAAAGAAAAAAACACAAGCTGCTAACCTGTTCCCAAAGCATGGATTCTGAGCAGATATTGTGACATTAACGGTCTGTATATTGTGCTGAGATTTTGCCCCTTCAGGAAGCAGGAAATAACCCTATAAAATTTGTATAGCATAAACTTTAGCAAACTACATAAGCATGTCCAGCAATAGCAAACACTAGGTTCATTAATCAATCATCTATAAGATCACAGAAGAGGAGAATATAATGTTAAACCGTAATTGCTCGCCCTTGAATCATTGATTATCAAAGCAGAAACAATCCAGAGTCATTTACCTTCTCAACAGTGTACAGATATGTCGGCTCAAAGGCCTTGCTTCTCTTCTCGAGCCATTGCACTGCAATCAAATAAACTTAGCAAATACCATACGCCATGAAGAACAAATTACATCAAAATCAAGGAGATTCAAGGCATTAATAATAGCGAACTGTTGACATCATCGATGGTTGACCATTTTCGATGCATGGTTATTTTGATTAGAAGTAGACAAAGGAAACAATTAAAAACGATATATAAAACAAGAAGAGTAGTGGTACAGAACTATGGAAGAAGTCTATTTACTTCGATATTAATGCAGTTTATTCTATTAAAATTTTAACTGCAAAAATTATGCACCAATGATTCCCCCTTCCTCAGTTGCAATACACATTTTCATTCTATTTTCTGTCACATCAACATCCTAAACATCTCTTGCGGCCTTCTTCCCATCTTGAACATCTCATACTCTTGCCACTTCCACCCAAAGGATATAGAAGAATAAGCTTTAAAGTTGAAAGTGATCTGAACTTTTTTTTTGTGCTAATGGCTTCTAAATTCCAGCTTTCACAGTCCTCCCACATATATTGATGATCACTCGACCTCTCAAGAAAAACTTTGCACATTTCATTCATTCCATCACTCCATTTTTCATCAGTGACCTGATATCAATGATTTTCTAACCAACCACATCTCAGGAAAAACTTTTTTTAAAAACAAAATAAACGAAAAATTTCATAAAGCCACTCTAGCTTCCTCCACCTTACAATCTACGAAAAAATTTAAGAAGGCCACTTGCGTTTCCATCATTTTCCTTTACAACATACAACCTGTAGTTATTGCCAGCAAGAATAGGAAAAATGAGCTGCGTTTTTCATCTGCCCAAACTGAGAAATTTTTTATTGAATTTTCTTCAGCTTTTTTTTTTCATTTAATTTCTTGATTTCACTTTTGATAATGACCCAAGTCCAATTATCCTTGGTTCTTTCAGGAAAAAAACAAGGGAAAAAGAATCCTATTTTAGTTACATCCTTTCTCTATATTTTTTAGTTCTAAATTTTAAATTTATAAACTTCATATTCAATTAACAACAGATGAAACTTAAGAAATAGAAACCAATAAGTTAATAAGATGGAAATAACAAGGATAAAAATTTTAATTTGAAAATAATATAGTTGATGGAGTTCCTAGATGGGATAGAATTGAAGAGAAAAATGACAGCTCGAAAGAACATATCCCTATAGTTCACTACAGAGCCACCATTTGTCAATTTTACATTGAGCTAAAAACAGTTGGGAACTCTAAATCTACCTTAAAAACTCACAGAAGTGCTGGACAAGAAAGGATGAGATCCAACCTGGCTATAATCTTAAAATATACAAAATGAATCAAATTTACAATTTATCTAAAAAATATTCAATAGGCCACAAGCAAAAAAGCACATCAGTGAATCTAGTATCTATTTTCCTTACTGCCAACAGTTTGACATGTTAGACTGATTTCTGCGCGTGAATTTAGCATGCTTGTTCACTAGTTGCTGTGCTTTTTACAATGCAAACTCAAATGATACACCCAGAGATTATAATGAGACTAGATTCATTGGGGATGAAATAAGCTTACAGTGAAAGTGGAACACACCTGTAAGGGACTTGAAATGTTCAGCACGAACCATCTTTAAGCTTTCTGATACATCAAGAAATGTTTTCCAGCCTGCAGTATTCTGTATTTCAACCCCTAATTCTTAGAACAGAAATCAATACTCCTAAGCAGATTTTATCTTTAAAAAAGTAAAATATATACATAAATTCATGCATATGGATTCAGTTAAATGGAGGTGTATTAGATTTTAACTTTACGAAGTCAGGCCATGTATGACATATTTCCTTCTTTTTGTGATTGTTGGAACTTGGAAGAAACAGGAAAAAAGTTTGAAAGTATTTAGAAAAAACAGTTCATTTTTAGCTATTGATCATCCTAAAAATAAGATAATGTACCAGTTGAAATTTTGATAAAGTTAACCGTAATATTGTTATGCAATATGATCATACTTCATTATAGGTAATATATATTTATGATCTAGATAATTGTAGCCCTATAGAATAGTTAAATATTTGATAATATTAATTATTTATTAGAACCATTATAAAATTGTTTCACTTGTATTTAATCATTAAAAAAAAAAGAATGGAAATATGCTAAACCAGTTTTAATAAAAAATTTAGAACTACTTAAATTTTTATTTTAGTTTGACTTTTTAACATTTAATCTTGTAGATAAAGAATATTTCTTCTTCTAATGATGTTAAATATCCTGAATATCATTCAAACATACAGAATAAAATTAAAAATGTTTTAAGAATCAGACATCATATGGCTATACTAATTTTACACAAAAATGTAGAAGTAACTTTATCATTTCAAATTTACAGCATAAAATTAATTTCAATAACCTTCAGAAAAAAATTTTTGCTTAATTTAGCTATAGCCATATATAAAATAAAATATTTTTCTGAAATGATATTAAAGCTATTTCAATACTATTATTATAAATTTGATTGTAATTTCACTCATAAAATACAATCATTTATTTTGAAAACAAAATATCAAGCTTTGGTTAATCCCCAAATCTCAACCATTGATTAAAACCTTTTGGTTAATCCTACTATCTTTTTTCAGGATCTCAACATGTGAGGAATTCGCCACAGAAGACTTCCAAGTTATAAGGGGATAAACCTGAAAGTTAACAATAGACCACATGAACAAGATAAGCATAGAAGATATTGTTTTGAGAAGATATTTACGGGATAAGTGGAGAATGAGATGAGCGGAAAAATTTAGATATAAAAGATCTCCTACGGATTGCAAACAATCTGATAAACCTGCAAATTAGCAACTGGTTGTAGGAAGAAGGATAAGCGTAGAAATTTTGGCCCCACTCCTGCATACATCATAAAAATCAAGCCCTCCCCATCCCTCCTCAACGCCCAGCAGATCTCCAAGTTCTTTCTCTAAGTATATTCAACTCGATTTTGGAGAGGTGCACCAATGAAAATCCCAGGCTCTTCAGCTTCTAGTCTCTAAGTATATCCAATTCAGCAATGCAGACGAGCACCAATAGAAGTATAAGGCTCTTCAGCTTCAACAACCCCTTAACCAAAGGATTAAACCAATGTTGGTCACAATTGCAGCACCAATATCTCAAAATGAATTGTGATGATGATGTGTTTCTCAAACAATCCGTAGAAAGAAAATTGGTGTTTGAATTTTTTGCAAGACTCAATAATGAATTTGACCAAATTTGTAGTCAAATCTTGAGCAAAGAGGACTTATTTGAGACTCGTTGCATCAATAGGGCTCAACTCGGAAGAAATTGACAAGCTAAGGAACTTCCTCAATTCTCTCGAAAAAGCTTTCAGATCATACCATCTAACTCCAAGTGGAACAAATGCTAATACTTATACTTATAATGCGCAAGTAGTTTCCATAAACCTGGATTATAGATTCAATAGTCACCAATTACATGATGAAGCTTGTCAACATATTCCATTTTCCAAATCTACAAACCATGTCCTAGCAATGCAAAAATAAAAGTAGATGATGGCTCTCTAACCACTATTACAAGTAAAAAAGAATATTTCTATTTCCCATGCAGTTACTCTCAATAATGCACTATGTTCTTAAGCTAGCAGCAAATCTTTTATCTATCCATAAACTCTTCAAATATCATAACTACAATGTGACAATTTTTTACTAATATTTTGTATTTCAAGACCCAACTACAAGGAAACGATTTGAGACTATCATTTTGATAAAGATACAACTACAAGCAAGCTAGAGAAATGGATAGACCATGCCTATTTGAATACAATAACCACCCATCATACGCCTTCATATCTGCACCAGATAAAGATACCATTTGAGACTATCAGTACAAGCTAGGGCATCCCTCCTTTAAAACCCTACAATCGATATGTCCTCTTTTTTTATAAATATTGACATTAAAAACTTACATTTTGAGATCTGTGAAATTATAAAATATCATAGAATTTAATTTCCTGGAAGTAAAATCAAATTCTCTATTCATTTCATGTTAATTCACATAAATATTTGAGACCTTCAAAATCCATAATATTTTTGGAGCTAAAAGATTTATCACAATCATTCATGATTGCACTCAAATGACATAGGTCTATCTTATCAAACAAAAATCAGATGTCAGTCATTCTAAACTTTATTTTCTTTCATCAATAAAGAATTTATAATTTATCAATCCTCATAACCTAACACCCCACAACATAATAGGATGGCAGAACGAAACAATCAACATATCTTGGAAGTCATCGAAACTGTTTTTTTTTTTTCCAAAATCAAGTTCTCAAAGGATATTGGGGAGAAGCAATCATAACCAACATATAGGAATTTATCCTCCACACAACAAAAACAGCAAGAACAAGATAAAACACAGCAAAAATCAGCGAGAAAGATGCTTATTTCAGGACAACAAACCAAGATACAAGTTGATCTACTATTTGTAAGGTAGATCAACTTTCTACAAACCCTAGGCACCATTAGGAACAACTCCAAAGAAAACTACCGCAAACACACATAACATGATAAAATAAAACAACCCTATTAACCTTCATACATCCCTCCTGAATTCAAATTAGCCAAAATCCCTTAAATAAATGTCTCTAACATCTTTCCCTAATAGCTCTCTCCAAAGCCTCTTCTCCTATAGGTGATAAAGGAGGTCCTAGGCCCCCACAGGAGAGTGATAGGAAATACTTGAGTTCGTAAGTAATTCTATCGGATTTACTTGAGTTCGCAAGCAATCCTAGCAATAATTGGTTCAAAACAGCGAGAAAAATAATAAAAACTTGGACAAATCAATCTAAAAACGATATATTGTGATAGTGGAAACAAAGCAAATCAAAACTCAAAGAAAGATGCAATTGATCCTCAATTCGAGAGGAGGATCGTCTCCCCAAATCTCTAGACAAGAGAGTCTAGAGCCCAAGTCGCCAAAAAACCCTAATTCCAATCAATCAAAACATAATCCCCCCTAATCCTCTCATGCTCTTTAATACAAAAACTTTCCTAATCTAATTTTCCTCCCAAGCCCTAGCCGCTCCCCTCCTTTTCAATTTGAATTCAAGTTGACAAGTGGGCCCACCCTTTGGACTGAAAAAATCAAGAGAGGCAGACTGCTTCCGCCTCCTGTAGAACAACTGAGCAGGCCTTCATCCTAAACCAGCCTAACAATACCGCCCTCCCAAAGAATCACTTTGTCCTCAAGGTGAAAACCAGGAAACTGATGTTTCACCCTCTCGTATGGCTCCCACATGGCCTCGTAGTCAGGAAGGTTCTTCCACTTAATCAACACTTCCTTACCTCTATTTTCTTTCTAACAAACCCCCATTAGCTCTAAGGGTTCCAGAATTATCTCTAAATCCTCAGTAAGTGTTGCCGGTAACTCGGGATTGGCTGTATAGTTACCAATGGCCTTTCTCAATTGCGATACATGAAAAATCGAATGTATAGTCACCGTTGGTGGTAGTTTCAACCGATATGCTACTGCTCAGATCTTCCCCAGCACTTCATAAGGTCCAAAGTACCTTGGAGTAAGCTTCTCATTCCTCCTATTGGGGCCTGTCTTCTGTCTATATGGTCGGAGCTTCAAGAACACCCTCTCCCTCACTTCAAATTGGATGTCCTTCCTATGCCCATTAGTTTGTTTCTTCATAATCAGTTGAGCCCTCAGCAGATGTCTCTTCCTCTACTGAAGAAACTTGAGTACTGCTACTCCCAAAGTGCAACAAGTGGGGAGGATCTCGTCCGTACAACACCTTGAATAGAGTCATCTGAGAAGTAGAATGAAAAGAGGTATTGTACCAGTGCTCAGCTCGTGATAGCCACTTAGCCCATAGCTTGTGTGTCTCCGAAATAAAGCATCTCAGGTAAGTCTCCAAGCTCATGTTCACTACTTTCATTTGGTCATCCATTTATGGGTGGTAAGCTGTGCTCCTCTTTAGAATTGTCCCCTATAACCTGAACAACTCCCTCTAAAAGTGAAGGAGGAACACCTTATCTCTATTTGATACTATTGCCTCTGGTACTCCATGTAATATGACCACCTCTCTAATGAAAGTTGAAGCCACTGTCACTATCGTATATGGGTATCAAAGGGGAATGAAATGGGCATACTTGCTCAACCTGTCCACCACCACTAAAATCACTATGAAACCTTCTGAACGGGGCAGCCCATCTATGAAATCCATGAATATCTCCTCCCATACTCGTCCCGGAGTAGTCCTCCTGGTGACATAGTCATGTATTTATTCCTTTAATAGATCTCACATATGGCCACCATCTCCTCTACATCTTTATGCATTCCCTTCCAGTATAGCTCCGAAGCTAGCATTCGGTATGTCTTCTGCACGCCTGAATATCCCCCAACAGTGCTTTCATAAAACTCCTGGAATAAGGTTGGGAAACTCACCTTCAACCTGCTTATTCTCAGATATCTAATTCAAATCTAGGAAAGCAACTCTCTACCCCAAAAAAAAAAAAAAAAACTACAAATTGAAGGTTACACGATGCCGATTATATAGGATTACTAATAGACAGGAGATCCACTTTAGAATATTACATACTTCTAGGAAAAAATCTTGTAATATAGAGAAGTATGAAAGAACATGTTGCTTTAACGTCAAGCAATGAATTTGAATTCAAAGAAATCACTCAAGATTTTCTGTGAGCTCCTATGGATTAAATTATATTAAAATATTTAAAGGTCAAATGAGACAAACTTATGAGGATATAATATGACAAAAATCTTCCATCAACATTGCCCATAATTCAACACAACATGATTGAACCAAATATATTGAAGCGGATAGGCATTTCATTGAAGAGAGATTAGAAAATGGATTAATTTATACTTTGTATGTTCCAATAGGAAGTCAACTTTCCGAAATATTCACCAAAGGGCTTTGCAACTCCGCATTAACAAATATTATAAGCAAACTTGAAATAGTAGATCTCTACTTACCAATTTAAGGGGCGCTAAAGGACCTAAGGAATTGGCAAAATAAGAAAGAAATAAGCCATAAAATCATGATCTAAATAAGGAAAAGCATGTGTCCCAGTTTAAAATTGCGCACCTTAGTGCAATTCGGCCCTTTAACGCGATGAGGCGAACGCTACGTCCGAGTTCCGCGAGGTGTACACCTCAAATCAGCTGAGGTGCGCCTCGCCTCACTTCAAGCAAAGCATTCCCCTCTAAAAATGCTTATATTTAAAACATAAATCTAATATCAGTGCTTTCATTCATTCCTTTCGTTCGTGCACTTCGACTTCCAACATTCGTGAGCTTCGACTTCGGCTGCTTTCGACCCCTTCAACTTCTCCGAAAGCACAACTGGTAGAGCTTCGGACATTCGCCAAAAGCTTCATTGCCTTCTTCAAATGTTCGCGGGTGGAGTCGACCTTCTTCAAACGTGGTCTTCGATTTCCCTGCGTTCGTGCGAAATCAACCTTCTTCGAGCGTGGTCTTAGACTTCCCTACATTTGTGCGCTTAGACTTCGGCTGCATTCGGCCTCTTCGACTTCGCCTAAAGCACAACAGGTTGCCTAACCGTCATATTGTCATGTTCACAACTCATTCAGATTCAGGTTCTTTTATTATTTGAAAAGCTAATGCTTGTTACAATTATAGTAGTTTATCAATGGCAGTTACTTCTACAGAATTGCTTCAGCATAGCTGAAGGATTTCATGGCAATGTTATTAATGTCATTTCTTTTATACACACATGAACATAAGCATGAATTATCTATGAATTGGATTTCTATTTTTTTATTTAAAAATTAAGTTTGTTTGATGTGTTTTTTATCTATTTTTATTTTTAGAATAAACAAAATAATTTTTAGACGTATTGAGGGTATTTAAAAAAAAAATTATTGCTAGCCCAATTTTATCTACTATTGTTGTTGCCATCACTGTCCAATCGTCGTTGCCTTTTTGATAATCACCGTTCTCTTCTTTAAAGAGATCAATATGTTTTATTTTTATGTTAACAATAATAAATAGTTTTGAAAAAATGTTTATCCTCATATTGTTCAAAAATATTTAGGGAAGAGGAAGATAATTGATATAGAGGAAGAAGAAGTTAATTGGGAGACATTGGACTCCATAGGAGCTGAGACAAGGGAGAGCAGTTCATCATAACGATGATTCTAATGATGACCCCTTTAGTGATGACAGTGCTGATTACTTTTGATTTGTTATGTCATTACTATTTATTTTTTAATTACATGTTAATGAACAGTATATTGGGATTTGGGAAAGATAGAATTTTGAGTTGAACTATATTTTATGTTTTCTTATTCTTGTGATGTGATTTCAATTCAATTTCAAACAACTTATTAGTTGACAATTTATATCTTGTGTTTTATTATTTTTATATATATGAAAATTTATTAGATTATTATTAAAAAAAATTATCATTTTGACTTTATGCGATTTTCTCATTTTTGAGGCTTACGCCTCGCCTAACAAAGAAAAAATGCCTCAATACCCAATTACGCAATTTTAAACATTGGCATGTGCCATGGATCCATGTGCAAGAAAAGAGGAGAGCAACGGAATAGAAAGCAACAAGAGGGAGGAAAACAGACAACATACAAGGAAGCTATTGGCAGCAATTTTTATTCTAAAATTATTGTAATTAGTATTTCTCCCTAAAGTTTGTATCGTATTCATTTATTCTGGAAGCATTTTATATAAACACTCATTGGAAGAATAAAACGGCGGCCTTGCGATGACCCGGTTAGGAGAGTAGAGGTATTAGATTTGACTTATGTTAAGAAAGGTAGGGGTAGACCTAAAAAGACTTGGTTAGAAAATATTAGGAATGAACTTTCTTTATTAGATTTAAACGAGAATTTGACTTTTATTAGGACACAATGGAGAAAAAGGATTCATGTAGCCGACCCCACGTAGTGGGATAAAGGCTTGATGTTGTTGTTGTTGTTGTTGTACTCATTGGAAGAATAAAAAAAATCAAGCTTTATAGTCAGTTCTTATTTTTTTATTTAAAGGTTTGGAAAAAATAGATAAACAGAAAAGATATGAGTAAATGAAAAAAAAAAAAAAACTATTTTTAGAATACTTGTTATGCATCACATTCATAGTTTCTTTCGTGACTAAATGAATTCTTCAGCACATCACGTGATAGAGAAATAATTCAAGAAGAGAAGTTAAATTGGAAATTTTGTTATCATAACATTTTAAGAAGAGCATGATCCACATCTCTTGCTTAATTATGAATTTGGATGACTTCTTTCTTGAGGCAAGTCATCCACAATGATTAGCATAGACAAGGTATGACGATGACACCTTCATTGTTACTCCATAGAACAGCACAAAAAATGATAAAATGATGGATGTCCAGAATCAAGATGTGAGTTGGCCATGAAATGCAGCTGAAATTTATTTTGAAGAGATTAATAGGGGACTTCGATTCCTTCGGTTTTCTAAAATGTGAAGTACAGAGTAGCTCGAGACTTGGGTAAGGAGAATAAATAAAATTAACAGATACCTAAACAAAACTGATTCATTTTAAATTTCAATTCTGCAGCCAACTGCTTGAAAGCAGTTGTAAAATTGCTAGGCTGATCATTTTGATCTTATTTGTTCTAGTCTCAGCCACGTGCATTTTGGGCTTGTGGAAATTTACTAATTGAAAGTGCTGCCATGTTTAGCCTATTGAGAGCTGCTTTGCTAAATATATTTAAAACAAAGTTCCACCTAGATTCTTCACAATTTTTTCTGAAAGACAATCCCAGTTTCTTTTAGAAACAAAAATATTATCCTGGCCAAACTGGTTACAGCACCTATTATCTAAGTTGTCATAACAGAAAACAAGAAACAATGGCAACCACAAGAAAAACATGTAAAACAAGTGATATATATTTATGTGTTCTCTTTGAGATATCAAGACACTAAAGTAGGATTATTAATTTCAGCACCTAAGGCAGTTAAAGAGCCAACCGCAAGTAGATCCAACTCTGGTTCGGATCAAAGCTCACTAAATATCATCTCTGTAAGCGCATGATTTTGCAGATGGACTAATTTAATACAATTTAAGTGCAGCTTGGCTGATGATAGGGATTCAAACTTGATCACAACCAAAATTTTTAGATTTTCAACTGAATTTACATCTTTGTATCAAACTGCTGACTCTACATACGTCTATATATGTACCCATACACAAATACAGATGCACACTTGTACACATGTACACATACACATATCCATATACATATAAATATATGTACATACACATATACATATATTTATGCATATACATATGTATACAAATTACATACACACACGCACGCAGAGAACACACACCCAATCATATAAGCTACATACATACTTAACATAAATGCATGAAAACAAGGACATATGTAAAAACATGCCTACATATATCTAGCCCGATATCACTTGGATGCGAGCCCAATCCAAGAAAAACCAATCCAATTTCCATGTATCATACAATTATTGTGTAAAACATGCATTCCTACCAACAGTTTGTTTTAGAGCTCAAAGATGTTTGCCGTATTTAAGGAAAATAGTGCCACATAATTCAAACTTGGTTTGAATGTTAGATTGTGATTTGTAAGGTCTTTCCCTACATAAGTAACAATAAATTTAAAATTTTGAGATGAATTGATTTATATGGATCGTGTTTACCCATGCCATTTTGTTTATATTCATGACTCTAGAAAAATCTGGTTCATGCAACCTATGCAGGGTTGAAAAACTGAAAGATGCACACAAACAATGTCATAAATATAATCATGCTATGCAGTCGGAGATTTCTGGTATTAGGCACATAAAAAAGGGCTTTTAATTCAATGCAATAACAAGAATAATTAATAAAACAAGATATTCTATCATCCTCAAATTTCATCAGTATTTCCACTAAGGCCTCAGGTTCATGTACCCAGAAGCCTAGATGAAATATGTAGAAAAAATAAGTGAATTAGAATAACAAAGTAAGTAAATTATTGAGAGCAAAATCACCGTTCAAGTTTCTTACCCACAAATGACCAGCATTTTCAAGGACAAGCTTAGTATACTTCGAGAGGACAAAAAGATGCATCCGCCATCTGTTGCCGAACTGAACCAATGCTGCTTTTAGAGACTCTCTTGCAGACACAGGAGGAGCAGAATGTAGTTCCTCTATCTCAGCTTTGTTATCTTTTTCATCTAGAACAGTTCTACTCGCAGCAGAAGACAATGCATTATCTATCTGAGTCTCAATTGCTTCCTTGTCACTCTTCCAGGATTTTAAAATCAATTTACTCCGCCTAGCACTTGAACCTATCCAGTTTGACCAAAACTTTGTAGTCAAAATTGTGAATTCATCACCTGAGACATCAGGAATTTTGGAACCCTCAGTCAAACTTCCTTCCTGCAAATCCACTAAATTCTGGTAATCAGCATGCTGAATCCATAGGCCCGCACTAACAATCTGCACCGATAAGCATAAGTTATGACAAATCGAATCAATTTTAAAGAACAGAAAAAACAGCGTAATTAATCAGCAATGTGCACATTATGCAAAAGACGCGCAAAACTAATATAATTTGGAATAGAACATTATGAGCTAATGGTTAAGCCATAAATATGAGAGAACGTAACTTCAAGTAACTGGTAGGTTTCAGCATGTGTGCAGCATAAACACGCCTAAGAATATGCAAGCACGCATGCACAATGAGTAAAGGTGATGATGGAGACAATCCATAAGCTTCTACAGCATTATCACACCACAACAATACAACACACGTAGTCAAGCTTCTCAAATGTAAGTAGGATTTTGAAGTACCTTGTAAACCTATAACAAGTGCTTAAACCCAAGCTCGTTTAATTTGAAGCTTATCAAGCGGCTCGTTTAACGAGCCGAACCTGCTCACACAATTTACAACATATTTTTAGCAACTGCCATCTTGCCAATCATTCAAACCCAGATTGCAAACCAAATCTTATATATATATATATATATATATATATATATATATATATATAAGGCATAATTGAGCTTCTAAACGAACATATTCACAAGCCCTAAACGATATTGTTCATGAACATAAACGAGCCGAATGTCAGGTTGTTCAAGATTGTTTATTTAGCTATCGAGTATTGTCAAAGTTGTTCAAATTTATTCATTTACCTTATCAAACGAATATAAACGAGCTCTTATTGAGCCGAGCCACGAGTAGTTCGTCGAACGCTCGGTTCATTTGCAGCCCTAGTCAACCCAACAGGATCCACCATGAAGCACTCAATTCAAAAAACTTTCTAAGTTAGCATTGAAAATGTGTTAAACACAACATATCTATGACAGACCCCGACATATCCAATGCAATGAAAGTGTCTAATGTAAATGAGAAATTGACTCTTAACAGGACAAAATGGAGAAAAATGATTCATATAGTTGACCCCATGTAGTGAGATAAAGGCATAATATTCTTGTTATTATTGTAGTGCCCATCACTATCGAAACACACCCTGACAAAACCCAAATACATGTCAACACAAATGAGACAAACAAAAAGTAGTTCTCATTTAGTAAGTTTTTGGTTCAAGTTTAAGATTCTATATACATATGCATACCATTTTGTATAGAAAATATAATGTAGATAATGAAAAAGTATATCTAATATTTATACTGATATTAGTGTGCCAGAGTCAATTAAGTACACTTAGGGCTGCAAATGAACCAAGCGTTCGACGAGCTGATCGTGGCTCGGCTCGATAAGAGCTTGTTCTTGTTCGTTTGATAAGGTGAACGAATGAGCTTGAACATTTTTTATAAATATTCTATAGCTAAATAAACGAGCTTGAATAACTTGGTGATCGGTTCGTTTATGTTCATGAACAATATCGTTTAATGCTCGTGAACAAGCTTGTTAAGAAGTTCTGTTAGAACTATATTAGAGTTTTTTAAAAATATATTTTGTTAAATTTAATAATTTAATAATATATTTTTACTAATCCCATCTAAAATCATTAAATAATTTATTTTTACTTCCCGCATCCACCTAAAATCGCAACCAACCCACTCTCTGAACAAATATAAGATGAATCATAGATCGTTTGTTCGTGAATGAGCTCATTTGGTAGCTTGAAAACACTAATTAGATATGTTCATGAATGGGCACATGTGATAGCTCAAGAATACTCATTAGATATGTTCGTGAAAAAACTTTTTGATAATTTAAAAATTTTCGCTTGATATGTTCACGAGCAGGCTCGATGTAATTATTTGTTAGAAGTCTCGATAAAGCTGATTTGTTAAGTTAATGTATATCTAGAAGTAGAGCTCTCTTATAGCATGATAAGACTGATTTGTTTAAAGCTCTATAAGCATGAAATGAATCGAACATGAACCAAATATGAACACCCATTAATTTAAACGAACCAAGCTTGAACACAAACAAAAAAACTCGAATCAAACTCGAACCGAACTTGAACAAGCTGATAATAAACAAACTCAAACATGAATATGCACATACTCGGCTCGGCTCGATTCGTTTGCAATCCTAAGTACACTTGGTAAAATATTTTAAAAATGATTATAAATAAGCTTTTTTAGTTGAGCTTTTGATGTGACATCTAACATTATACATCATTGTGTGATAATTTTTAGAGAAAATATTACATTATGTCTTTTTATTTTATATTTTGTATTAATCATTTATAAAAAAAATAGTGTTCATATGTGTCATCTCCCAACTTTTTGCAATTACTTTGTGTACCTGTATCCATGCCATATCTCCATATTATGTCATTATTGTATCTCATGTCAATCAATGTTTGTGCTTCACAAAAGATTAACTGTTCCTCTTTACCATTCTCCTGAACCCTAACGATAATTCCTACTAACCAAAGCCACCTAAATCCACATATCCACCATCATTAAAATAAAACAAAAGGTTATATAACCCCTACATGCTGATCATCTCTGCATTCCAATACATCACTTTTTCGGCATCAGGGCAATTCAGATATGAAGAAGCATTGCTTCAAATTACCCAGCTCCATATCCAAGTTGCATCTTGTGACAAGTTACTACAGCGCATGGAAGATACAATGTGATAGGCCGGTTCATGAACCCTGAACTGGCCCAAGAGCTGGGCCCCCAAGAGCCGGCCCAGCGGCCGGCTCAACTTTATAAGAGGCGGAAGGGGGGGTCCTCCCCCTTTAATGCTGCCGCCCATTTGGAGCAATGGGGAGAAGGGGTTTTGGGAGGCTAGTTTAAGAGGGAAATTTTGAATGAGAGATGTTTGAATTAGAAAATGAATTGTATTAGTAAGGGGGCTGGTTGGAGGAGAGTTTTTCATGCTTGAATATTGTTTTCTCTTGAGTTATTGGGTGTTTGGCTCTAGATTGCTTTTCTAGAGATTTGGGAGAGAGCGATCCTCCTCTCGAAGTGAGGATCTCTTGTATCTTGCTTTGTCTTTGTTTGGCTTAATTCTCTTATTGCAATCAATCGTTTGGGGGCTGTTTTCCGCCCAGATTTTGCATTATTCTCGCTGTTTTCACCAATTAGTGATAGGTTTGCTTGCGAACTCAAGTATTTCCCTTGGGATTCTTGCGAACTCAAATATTTCCTATCAAATTGGTATCATAGCATCATCTTGGGACCATCGGCGGCTGAAATTTTGAAATTTCAGTGGGTTTTTTGCATCCAGTAGAAGCTCTCTTGAGATCCTTGAGAAGAAACGTGGCCGGAAAGAAGGTCGAAGTGTTGGAAGGTGAAATTGGGCAATTAAAATTGGATTTGGAGGGAAAATTTTTTTGATTTTCAAAATCAAATCTCCTCCAACAATAAAAGGTTGGAAGGGAAGTTTACTTTGATGGAAGAGATGTTGAAGAAATTACTAGAGGTGAAGACCAATCTAACGACATCGGAAGCAAAGGAGACCACCGGTGGCCATGCTATAGGAGGGAATCCGAACCTGTTTAGGGGGAGGAAGAATCCAGAAGTGGAGATCCTTGAGGGGGAGGATGCCATGCCACCTCTAGAACCACTTTTTAGAGAGGAGATGAGTATGGGTTACGAAAAGAAGGGTGCTGATTTTGTGGGAAGAATGGGGGATTTCCACCACCAAGGTGCCGATTTTGAAAGAATGAGAGGGGAAGTTGATGATGACTATGGTTATAATCACCGGAGGGAAGATCGTGACAACTAGGGAACACCTTCATGGCATGGGAGGATATGAAGGATCCAAGGGTAATTGGGGTGACCCAAAGGTCAGAAAGTTGAAGATGCTCATCTTTGAGGGCGAGGATGGACATGATTAGATATATAAGGTGGAACGGTACTTTTCCGTCAACGAGCTGACAAAGGAAGAGAAGCTAACAGCGGCAGGACTATGCTTGGAGGGAAAGCCACTAGCTTGGTACCAATGGCGGGACATGAGGCAACCCATCAGGAGCTGAAGAGAGTTCAAAGAGTGCTTACTGGAACGTTTCTGAACCGGAAGGGGAGGGAACTTCTATGAGCAATTCTTTGTCTTGACGCAGGAGGCGACAGTGGCAGAGTACCGTGATCGGTTTGAGTACCTAGCTAGTCGGCTAGACCGTCTATCTGAGACTGTGTATGAGGGGAACTTCATGAAAGGGCTCAAACCGGAGCTTAGAGCAGTTGTTAGAATGATGCGACGGTGCGACTTGGGGGAGGCCATGGAGTTGGCACAGCTGGTTGAGGACCATAAGCATCTGGAGAGGGGGGCTTGTGGCAGTAGTTTCGGGGGATCCTACAGGATGACTACTACTTTTCTAGCTCCCAAAGAAGCTGCACCGGGAGGATCACAGGAAGTACGAAGGGAGAAGTCTGGAGAAGGGCCTAGAGGAAATTGTAAGAAGTTGAAGGAGAAGGAGATCCAGGAGAAGCGGGCTAAGGGGTTGTGTTTCATGTGCGATGAGAAATACATGCCAGGGCATAGGTGTAAGAACCGAACTCTTCAGGTTCTCACCGTCTGTGATGACGAAGAAGCTAAAGAGGGAGGTGGAAGAGGGTTAGAGACAGAAGAGGAGTTGCATTTGGATGTGGCAGAAGTCTCCATAAACTCAGTAGTGGGATTCACTCTGAATCATACTATGAAAGTGAAGGGAGAGATAGTTGATAGGGATGTGGTAGTGTTGATAGATAGTGGGGCAACCCACAATTTCATCTCCACACAAATTGTTAATGTATTGGGGGTGAAACTAGTGGATACAGGAGGGTACAGGATGATGATGTGCACCGAAAAGGAAGAAATGGACGGAGGAGTTTGTAAGGGAGTGGTGTTGACCATTCAGGGGATACAGGTGAGGGAGGATTTTCTTCCCTTGGAATTGGGGAGTACGGATATCATCTTGGGAATGAAATGGATACAAATCTTGGGGGAGACCAAGGTGAATTGAGGAGCACTGAGGATGAAATTGCTGGTGGGGAGAAGGAGAATGGTGATACAAGGAGATGACGGGTTGTCTAGAGCGGGAGTGTCTCTCAAGTCCATGATCAGAACCATACAAGAGGTTGGAGGTGGATATTTGATAGAACTGCAACAATTGGAGAGGGTCAGTGAGGGGGAAGAGGGAGACATTCCAATTGTAGTGCAACTAGTCATACATCAGTTCAGTGAAGTATTCCGCCCACCTCAAGGGTTACCCCCACTCAGAAAACAAGAGCATGCAATTCTTCTAAAGGAGGGGGTATCACCGATTAGTGTACGACCGTACCGCTACCCCCAGATTCAGAAGGATGAGATTGAGAAGATGATTAGAGAGATGTTGGAGGCTGGGATCATCAGACCGAGTGTGAGTCTTTTCTCTAGCCCGATATTACTGGTCAAAAAGGATGGGAGCTGAAGGTTTTGTGTGAAATACAGGGCGTTGAATAAGGAGATTGTACCAAATAAATTTCTCATTCCAGTGATTGACGAGCTTTTGGATGAACTGTATGGAGCAGTGACGTTCTCCAAGCTGGATTTGAAGTCGGGATACCATCAGATCCGGATGAGGGATGAAGACATCTCAAAGACAGTGTTACGGACACATGAGGGGCATTATGAGTTTCTGGTCATGCCATTTGGGATTACCAACGCCCTTGCTACTTTCCAATCATTGATAAACAGGATATTCAAACAGTATCTTTGGAAGTTTGTGCTGCTATTTTTTTATGACGTCTTGGTGTACAGTAGAACTGAGGAGCATCTGAAGCACTTGAAGTTGGTATTGGGAGTTCTACAGGAGCATCAACTGAGGGCCAACCTGAAGATGTTTTGCTTTGCCCAACCCAATATGGAGTACTGTACTTGGGTCATATCGTGTCCAAGAAAGGGGTGGCGACGGATCAATCAAAGGTGGAGGCTATGTTGAGATGGCTCTTACTTAAGAATCTAAATGAGTTGAGAGGATTCTTAGGGCTGATGGGATACTATAGGAGATTTGTCAAAGGATACAGTACTAAAGCATGGCCACTGACAGAGCAGTTAAAGAAAGATGGATTCCTAATGGGGAGATGCAGCCACAACAGCATTTGAGAAACTAAAAAAGCCGATGACCACGGTACCCATCTTAGCTCTACCAGACTTTACTCGGGCATTCATAGTGGAGACAGATACTTCAGGATATGGATTGGAGGTAATACTCATGTAGGATAAGCGGTCTATTGCTTCAGCCAGGTGTTGGTAGCCATAACCAGGCTGAAATCAGTCTATGAGAGGGAGCCTGAAATACTTGTTGAAATAGCAGATGCTGACTGAAGAGCACCAAAAATAGATGTCGAAATTGCTGGGGTATGATTTTGAAATCCAGTACAGACCAGGAAGGGAGAACAAGGCGGTAGATACTTTATAGTGCAGTGTCTGTTCCTTTGATGTTGGATTGGGAGGCCATTAAGGAGGAGAGCTCTAGGGATGAGGAGTTGGGGAAGATCAAGACGGATTTATTGAGGGAAGGTGGAAGCCACTGGTATCAACAAGGGTACTCAGTAGAGGGGGACAGACTGTTGTATCAAAGGAGGTTCGTGATGCCCATGATCTCAATCCATATCCCAAACTTACTTCAAGAATTTCATGGAAGCGCGGTTGGGAGTCATTCAGGGGTGCAGAAGTCCTATAGGAGATTAGCTGTCGAACTTTACTATAAGAGAATGCATAGGGATGTGGAGGAGATGATGGCAAAGTGTGAGATCTACCAGAGGAGCAAATACATGGCTATGTCATTGGCGTTATCAGGATGGTATGGGAGGAGATATCCATGGACTTCATAGATGAGTTGCCCTGTTCAGAAGGCTTCACGATGATTATGATGGTGGTGGATAAATTGAGCAAGTATGTTCATTTTATTCCCCTCCGACATCCTTACACCTTGGTGACAGTGGCTTCAACTTTCATCAGGAAGGTGGTCAGATTGCATTGGGTCCCGGAGGCAATTGTGTTAGATAGAGATAAGGTGTTCCTCAATCATTTTTGGAGGGAGTTGTTCAGTTTACAGGGAATTGTCCTGAAGAGGAGCACCACTTACCACCCACAAATAGATGGCCAAACGAAGGTGGTCAATAGGAGCTTGGAGACCTAGTTGAGATGCTTTGTGTCGGAGACACCCAAGCTGTGGGCCAAGTGGCTATCATGGGCGGAGTACTGGTATAACACCTCGTTTCACTCGGCTTCACAGATGACTTCATTCAAGGTGTTGTATGGAAGGGACCCTCCTCACTTAGTGCACTTTGGGAGTAGCAGTACTCTAGTTTCTTCAGTAGAGAAGTATTTGGAGGAGAGAGATTGAGTGTTAGAGGAATTGAAGAAACATCTACTGAGAGCTCAACAAATTATGAAGAAATAAATTGATGGACATAGGAATGACATCCAGTTCGAAGTTGGAGAGAGGGTGTTTTTGAAGCTCCGATCATACCGACAGAAGACAATTGCCAATAGTAGAAATGAAAAGCTTGCTCAAAGATACTTTGAACCTTATGTAATATTAGAAAAAATTAGAGCGGTAACATATAAGCTGAAACTACCACCCACGGCGACTATTCATCCGATTTTACATGTGTCGCAACTGAGAAGAGTCATTGGAGATTATACAGCCAACACGAAGTTATCGGCAACACTTACTGAGGACTTGGAGGTGATTCTGGAACCCTTAGAGTTGATGGGGGTTCGTTAGAAAGAAGATGGAGCTAAAGAAGTGTTAATCAAGTGGAAGAATATACTTGACTATGATGTCATGTGGGAACCATACGAGAGGGTGAAACAACAGTTTCCTAGTTTTCACCTTGAGGACAAGGTGATTATTTGGGAGAGCGGTATTGATAGGCCGGTTCACCCTGAACTGGCCCAAGAGCCGGCCCAACGGCCAGCTCAAGTTTATAAGAGGCGGACAGGGTGGTCCGCCCCCTTTAATGCTACCACCCATTTGGAGCAATGGGGAGAAGGGGTTTTGGGAGGCTAGTTTAAGAGGAAAAATTTGAATGAGAGATGTTTGAGTTAGAAAATGAATTGTATTAGTAAGGGGGCTGGTTGGAGGAGAGTTTTTCATGCTTGAATATTGTTTTCTCTTGAGTTCTTGGGTGTTTGGCTCTAGATTGCTTTTCTAGAAATTTGGGAGAGAACGATCCTCCTCTTGAATTGAGGATCACTTGTATCTTGCTTTGTATTTGTTTGGCTTGATTCTCTTATTGCAATCCATCATTTGAGGGCTGTTTTCCGCCCAGATATTGCATTAGTCTTGCTTTTTTCACCAATTAGTGATAGGTTTGCTTGCGAACTCAAGTATTTCCTATCACAATGTTAATCAAACTATAACCAAAGTTAGCTAATAAGGTATCCACAAAAATGAAATTGAAAAGGATATGCAGAAGTGTTCGCCCCCTTTCCAGTGGAAAGGAAAAAATACAAAACAGTGCATGCATGAAATGAGGAAATCACACTGAAATTTACACATGAAAAATGACATTTTGAAATGGATATGAGATTATAGCGAGAGACTTACCTTAATCTGGACTAACTGAGCTTCAGTAAATTTAATTCCTGCCAGTTCAGCAGAACAACCAGGCTTCATAGTTCATATGCAATAAAAGGCAGATCGAGCTAATCAGATTTTTGTAGAAATCCAAAGCTAAAAATCAATGAAAATAAGCATCCAAACTATTTACTGGAACATATTCATGACTGCTCTAAAATAACAAGAGCTTGTAGATTATTGAAATCACACACAAAAAAAAAAAAAGAATACAGCAAGCATATAACCTTCATTGACATTTGTTTATAGAAGAAGAGGGAGGGAAGAGGACAGCAAAAGAAGAATTCCAAACAGACTTAAAAGATCATAAATATCGAGTTAAAAGAGAATTCAAGGGTAAGAGCCACGCTAATGTGTGAGTTTATCCCAAGTAAATGAGGCCAACTTTATGAGTCTTCACAAGCTACATGCAGACACATAAAAGACATCTAAAACAACTTCTGAAAGTATTAGTTGTTTACTAAGTACATCTTCCCATTTCCAAACATCAACCAGTTGCATAAGAGGTATTACAAACTCATTTTATTATGTACAAGAACAGCAAAAGAAGTCGGTTAAAAGGAGAAAGATGGAAAGGCAAGACAGTAAATCCAGTAAATAAATACTGTAGGATCAGAGGCAATAATCATAGCAAAATGTTTGGTACAAAAATAAAAATATGAAACCATCAAAAAACTGGCAAACAAACAAAATTTAAGAGATGCTCACATGCATGCCATTAATTTTTAGTAATTACCCATACAACACAATTTTCAAATGTTTTTAAGAGAAAACACAAAAAAAATTTGCCTTTTAAAAACTTCAAACAGGTTAATAACAGACCAGAAAAAGATGATCATAATATGTTATCATCTTTCCCAAAAGTTATGTTGCACCGATACACCTATTTATGAAGGCGTGCCATATCCGATACACCGATACGCCTCCGATAAGCCACCGATACATGTCAGATACGCCAAAGTCGTATCCAATTAAAATACTATTTCATTTCAAAAGTACAAGCGTATCCAATACGCGGGTCCGTTGAAAAACAAAAAAAAAATTAAAAAAAAAATAACCTGTCATATTTACTTCCGCGACTGCGACCAAGGTTCTCTCATTTCCGAGATGGATTTGAGTCTCTTGATGATATGAGAATATTAGAAATTACTAATCTTTCATTTGATAAGCCTAAATTAGAAGCTATGAAATTTATTGAAGATGATATAGAAGTTCAAAGACAAACCACTGAAGAAGTTAATCATATCATTCCTTCTATTGAATAGTTGAAATTTCATGTGCTAGACAATTTATGTTTATGCTTTTGTTAATGTACTAGACATTTAATGCTTACTTATATTTTGATATTATAAGCTACAAGGTTACAAATGATGTTGTTGTCATTTTTTGTTTGTAATTTCAAATTTTATGCTTTGATTGTTTTCTTAATTTTTATGTATGATTTATAAATTATAATGTCGTGTCCGCGTCGTACCGTATCCTGTATTTTTAAGAATTGAGTAATTGACGTATCCTGCATCCGTGTCGCCGTATCCGTATCGGTGCAACATAGCCCGAAAGTTATCTAATGCATGGTAGATGTAATCCAATGTTCTAACTGCCAGGCAATGATGGTCGCCTTAAGGGCCTTGCATGAATGGGGATGTGTGATGGCATCCACTACAAAAGCAATGAAACATCTTCCACACATGCAGCCTTCATGAGAGGCTTTCACTCCTTGTGTAACCTCTATAATGGGCCCAACCTTCAAGAGAATGGACGGGTCCACACCATGAGAGACTGTTGGCACACGCAACCTTCATTATGAGAAGCAGCAGCTTGAGCAGCCCCGTTCGGCAGTCAACTCCATCCATGAGTAGGCCCCCAGTAGGGCTACCTTGCAAACATGGATCTCCAATGCAACCCTGTTTGGTACAACTACAGTGGAAGATGCATAGGATAGTTCACAACACATTATCCTAACTGAGTGGAGCTCGAGCAATACATATGGAGATATGAAACATATATTTGTGAAGCACCTTCCAAAGTATCATTTGTTCCTTATGTATATGCTCCTTCACATTAACAATTCACCATGCTACTTAAGAGATATTATAAATCTAATTATGCTTCTTTATTTAAGGAAAAATATAAATTTGGAAAAAAAGGAAAGTTTGGAATGGCAATAACCGACCAGTAAAGAAAAATTTTGTACAAAAGAATAGATTCAAAGTAAACTTAATAGAGATCCATAGTAATATAGAAACGTTCAAAAGCATGATCATCAGAACAAAAACTTGCACAATTGAATACCAAACACATAATTCACCTTAAAATATACGAACAACCAAAGGTTTTAACCCTTTCAAAGACTATAATGACTTATAGAAGTTAAACACGTTGGTAATATTGCGTTAATTATTCAAAACTGCATGTAATTCATAAGCGTAGCACTATCTACCTATTACTCCAGCAATGATAATGTTCAGCAGGCCATTCGCGCAAGGATCTGAGATGCCATCCAACAGCCCCATTGAGGGGAACTGCCCATTTGGTGCAAATGAGAAAAATAAGAGAGCATTTTTTCTTTTAACAATGATTGGATATAGTGGTATCAATAAATAACCCTATATGAACCCGACTTAATAAACCCATGGATTGACCCATTTAAATTTAAGGTCGTTTGAACAAAATATCCAAAATCAATTCAAAGCTAACCCAATAATAAATGTACTTGCACAAAAACTATGATATTGGCTTATTGCAATGATTTAACATGTGGAATAAAATAGATAATCATTTGGTTATGATTTTCTATTCTCTAATTCTTAAATTTCAAGTCACATTACTCACTCCCTGCTAATATGTAATGTGGCTAAGAATCAACGTCTTTGCTCTCACCTATTCATTCAGTTCACTTCCTATGCTCTAAAGTGAAGCCACGGTTGCTTGCCACAAGAGATGCTAGCGGTCACTCTCCATTCTCCAGTCTCCTAACCTCCTCAACTATTCCAATCCTCCCCAACACACCCCCATTTGACTATTTAACAAATTTATTTCCACCAGCAATGAGAAACCCTCCTTCACCTCTACATCATCCATTTTCCACATATGAGGTGCTTCCTATCTTTCTTCATAATTTGATCCCTATTTCCTCTTAATCCCACAAATCCTAACCCTAGAAATAATTCTCATTAGTTTAAGCTTACTGTTTTTACTAGTGAATTTGTTCCAAGTGTTCAAAACTTCAACTTAAAGCACATATTCCGCATTTCCACCTTATTAACAATTGAGTGGATTAAAGACAAGTAACATGATGCCTCAAAATCTTATAATTCTTAAATATTTAAAGTATGTATTATTGTTTTAAGGTAATGTAATTTTTTTTATTTGATGTTCAATGAAAATATCATATGATGGCTTCTTACGTTTGGAATTTGGAGTTATTATATTTGAACTTGCCTTTAAATGCTAGAAATGCACCATTAGAATAAACATGTATACTTTTGATTAAATGCATCATATTCGGATTAATGGGGTCTTGTTAACCCAAATATTAAACAGGACACATGTGTCAGGTTTAGACTAATTAGTTGATGTCAAAGCAATTTTGTATCAGATAGGTTTAGACTAATTAGTTGATGTCAAAGCAATTTTGTAACAGATATTCTAACCAGTATAATAAATAAGTCAAGTTTAGGTCGGGTCAAATTAGGGCCAGATGCATGTTAACCCAAATCAATAGCCCTAGTTTGATAGATGAAAATTTTCCATGAACTTTCCATGTTTAAGTGATGGAGTTATAGTATTATTAAACTTAGGTTAGGGTGACATGTAGGTGACATTCAAAGATAGGAAGTGTCAAGTTGTCATAATTTGCTTGAGTTTTGTTGGCGTGTATGTTGTTAAACCAAAACTTTAATATGCCACAATAAATCTTCACTCATTTTTGAGTGGGCCAAAGAAACAAAGAAAAATATACTACAGTATACCTACTAAACACCAATATGGTTTAATATTCATATAGTACAAGCTCCAACCAAACATTTTTATGTCTCCTCATAGAATAGAGAATAATCTACGACTACTTACTTTTATGTCATGTAGGTGTTTGCATAAAGCTAGAAATATATAAAATGTTCATGATGTTTATAATAAATATTACTTATGGATCAAGTTTCATTTATTACATGCTAATTTATCCATTCATCAAGTATAATTAAAAATAAGATTACAACAACAACAACATCAAGCCTTTGTCCTACTACGTAGGGTATAATTAAAAATAAGATTGATGGGATAAAATATAGAAATCAGCTTGGAAAGTCTAGTTTTACCTTTATTTTTACCAATGAAAACCATCAATTGCACTATATATACAACCACACCCCATGTATTCTAGGCTATTTGGAAGATTTTGCATGTTAAAAGCAAAATCAAGTTCTTATGGAGTTAGAACCTTCCATTAAAACAATTTTGATGAACATGATCAATGATCATGCGATCATAAAAGTTCTTAACCACAATAATATAATGTTTGGATTCCATTTTCAACTACTCCTATCGAAATAGGATTGACTACGTATTCGAGCCATAGCACATGGTTTTATCAATTTTCCCATTCCAAATTGAGCACTTTTGTATGCCACTAATTTTAATGAAGCTAAAGAGAATAGAGAGCTTTGATTTTAACTTCATAAAATATAAATTTAAATGAGCATTCTCGCTTGACAAAAAGAAAATTGCATCCATACATACTATGACTTGGAAAATATTATGTTATTTAACCAATTAATTTTAATTGGCTAACTGCAATTCATATAAGTTAAAAACTAATATTTATGAAGAGACTATTATTCCTTTTCAATACTAAACGACGGAAGCAAATTTAAAATATATGTCTCCTATTTTGATACTTTCATTTTTATGCCACTAATTGGACTTTATTGTACATTCCAATCATTTCTGAATAACTCCATGCAAAACCGTACTTTAGACCCCTATTGTTAATTAAGGTATGGATGATTAACTTTTATTAATAGACTAACAAAAATGTATGGCATCCCTAAGATATAAATTAAATGGCTAAACCATCTTCATATGGGACTTGGGACTTGGGACTTGGGACTTGCACAATGACCTCTCCTGATTTAGATGCAATCTTCTTAAATGATAAATATTGTCCCTTCAAAGTTCCGACCATGAACATATCATTATCATTAAGCATTGCTATTCATAGTAGAAAAATCTAACAATATGTTACAATTGCATCCGAAATAACAAGTAAAGCATATGTTATAAAATAATGGGCCTAAGTCATTAATGTTAGAGTGGGTGTTAAGTTGTGGACTCTAATTTTTACTCTATGAAGAAAATTTTGTACGTGGATTTAATATGAGGTCAAACTTCATGGTAAGGTTGTTGAGGGGGTTAGTAGTGGTGCGAGGCTCCCCTCCCATTGGTTAGGTGATAGGGGCCCTCGAAATGTATCCAATATTTGTGGGTTATTTTATTAAGTATATTTTGAGAATCTTTTTATATTTTTAATTGCCCTAAGTTTTTTCTTTATAAAAAGTGAGGGAAGCATATTCATATTGTATCATTGAGGTTTATACCTCTCCCCAATTAAAATATAGCGAAATTAGCAGTAGTGCAACAAGACATAGCTATCAATGGCGTGAACCTTAATAAAAATTGTTTATTTTTGTATGTGTTGATCTTCTTTTCTTTTTTTCTCTCTTTAAATTCAATTAAGTTTCCTATTCCCAACACAACAGTGGGTGTCAATATTCATGAATTGTTGACGAAGAACGTTCCTTTTTTGTATTGCATCCTCTCCTAAGTAACAACAATTTGAAAATTCTAAGAAAAAACCACTTGACCTTGATTTAAAAATTATATACTACCATAATAAACTACATTGAAGATAAACTAAAGGGTGCCAAAAGGATCAATTAAACGAATTCCAAGCAGAAACCTCTTGGCTCACCTGCTGAACGAAGTTGATGTGCATGACCACAAGCAAGCAAAAAAGCGCAACCGCCACGGCGAGGTAGATGTACTCGAGCACCATCCTGATCCTCGGCGTGAGGAGCTGGGAGAGCATCCCTGAGAGCCGCGCGTGGACGCGCAGGAAGGTCTGTTCCGGATCCATCTCCGCCTCTCTACCCTAGAATCCCAATATTTCCCCCTTCCACCCCACTTCCGTATCCAACACAAACCAAACCCTAATTAGATGCATTGATGTTCACAGACAGAGACAGAGGCGGTGATCAGATAAAGAACATATCTACAGTGCCGATTGGAACAACCGAGTGCTGATCCTTGCTGCCGTATTCTGAAATTCCTCCAACTATTCCGCGTAATCTCTGCTACGGATTTGGCTTTTCGTCGAGGAGATAAGATTATTAATTTATTATTACTCCGTTAATATCGCAACGCCCACCGACAAAGGCACAATTCGTTGGAATTTTATATTTTAAAAATAAGAATTTTATACTCAACCTCTTTCCCTGAAATCAAATGGAAAATTTTATATTTTAATCCCTCGCAATCCACTAATTTAAATTACTATCTTTCTTCTAATTTTACTTTGACCAAAAGTGTTTACATTTATTTTTAGATTAAAATATTCTTATATGCATATTAAATAGTCATCCCAAATCCACCTATGCTTAAATGTATAAGAAAATCATCATGATAATTGTTATTGTAATATTTTTAGAGATTTTTTTTTTTCAGTATTATCATATCAAATCATAGTACATCTCTTTCCAATTTATTTTTAGTATATGTTTTTCTACTCCTTTTACATAAATATTCACATATACATATTTAATTTGTGAAAATGCAATAAAATCAAATCATATTGTTTAGAAAGATCAAATCTATAAAATTAAAAAAAACTACGCGATAAAAGCTTATGAAATCATAAGATAAAATATTTTTAACAGATTTATGAGAGATAAAATTCATAGAAATTAGAATTATTAAAAACAAAAATAATAAGATAGTTGCTTACAAGTTACAACAAATAGAAAAAAAAATATATCCATAATATGAACAATGAACAAAAATCACTTGAAGATCATTCTGTCTCATATTCTCTTTCCTCTTCTCCCCCTTGTCTTCCTCTCTTCGTTTTCCTTCACGGCAAAGCTACATGAAATGAGTGTGAGGAGAGGGTGATAGGTATATTTAGTGTTACATGCTAGAAATTTTGAGTCGGTAGAGTGTATGTTTCATGTCTTAGTGGTGTACATATAAAAATAGTAAGATCAAAGAATTTTTTACATTGGAAAACCTAAAAAAGAAAAAAAAATCATAAGTCCTAGCATAGTTGAAAAATCCAATATGTAGTAAGTGATACAAAAATCTTCCCTTCTTCACTGCTGAAGAAGAGGAAGTACAAAGATCAAATTTTTACACCCAATAACAAAGGCTTAAACTTTTGAGGAGGAATTTTATAAGGCAAGTGTATATATGCAGACAAATGTACCCAACAGAAAGTTCGAATCTTCATAATATTTTTGAGACGACAGTGGTTGCTAGTGATAGTAATTGGTGATTATTGGTGCAATTATCACATCTCAAGATTCAAATGGAATAACATCTTTTATATTCTATTTTTTTAATGCAATATTCATTGATTTATCAACCTGATCAATACAAACATTTAATTTTAATAAAATTTCAATATAATATTTATATAAATTCTTTTAGGGTTTAAAAAATTATATAAAAATTATTCATAAAATAATTTATTTTATTTAAAAAATATTGTTGACACCTGATAGTCATAAAATCCTCTCTTGTACTGACTTGTATAAATTTCTTAAGAGTTTTTACCAGTGTCCAACAATTATGAAAAAATTCATGTAATTAAAATACTACAATATAAATGTTATGGGGAAGACTATTTTTAAATTTGGCTTAAAACAACATCTAAAAAAATTGTTTGTTTGGGTCAAAATACATGTTATTACAACAATAGCTGGTGATTGTCGACCTTGGCGTGGCTGGAAAATGCTACATAGCTTTCCTTCTTCTATTCTTTCTTCTCACTTTTTCTCCCTTTCATCTGAAAAATGAGGGCCTATTTGTACGTAGGTTTTTAGGAGTGGGATACTCGATAAATATGAAGAAAAATAACTTCTAAAAAAATTAGTCAAAATACATGCTATTACAGCAATATCTAGTGATTGTTTACCTTGGCGTGGCTGGAAAATGCTACAGAGCTTTTCCTTCTTCTATTTTTTATTCTCACTTTTTCTCCCTTTCATGTGAAAATGAGGGCCTATTTATATGTTTTTCGGAGTGGCATACTCCATAAATATGAAGAAAATATAGGGTATATTAGGAGTGCTCCATCAAACGGTCCATAATGATTCTTTTGATCATAGAGCTTTCGTTAATCATTTAAGTTCCTTAATGATGTCAGAATTTAGTGATTTTGGGCTCGATTTGTCTCATCGAGCCGCTCAATTCAACTATAAGCATGTCATATGTGGATATTAATTTGTTATCCAATTAATGCTTTTAAGCTTTTAAATAAGATTTAGTCCTTTCATTCGACCCCATTTGAACTTAGACTGGATCATTTTTGGTGTCATCGAGTTCGTCTTGTCAAAACGTTCAATTTGATTATAAGTATGTTGAGATTGGTATTCAGATGGTCGCAAATTGAATTTTAAGAGTTGCACATTTCAATATGCCTCGAGATTCATGTTAGATCAATGTGATTTTTAGTGAGGTATCATTTATAATAAAAAAATGTATAAAAATACTATTAGTGGCCTATCATCACAGCACTACATGCAGAATTTAAAATTATTGTAAAAACAAAGGCTTTCACAGCTGCGGTGACATTTATGGCGCCACTATGCTCAAAGGCTAATGCCGCAATGCTTACAATATCAGAGTCGTAGCGCACCAATTCAAACAGATATTCAAATATTCTATTTTAAAATGCATTTTCACATTTTAGGTTGTTACATCAATTAGAATATACGACTTGATGAAGTCATTTGTCGATATTTTAAAAACTCAATAGCTCATAATTTATCGAGGATAACCGAGTAGTTGATTAATAATTTATCTTAGGAGGGTTTCCTTCCTTGAGTAGTTGTTATGGACAATTTTATGGATAGTAGTCACTAGAGGCAATTTTATAGATATCAATTGCTAGGGCCATCTGATAGGCCATACTTGCTTGACTTGGATGAGTTCTTTAATCATAGTTACTAACTTGAGATGAGTTCTCTCATAGATTAGTGAGTCTCTTTTGAGCTGATGCTAAGTAACTGAGTTAGATGGCTTGATTTGGGTTGACTTATGGTTCGCTTTAGATGACTACAACTTTTTATAAAGGTGGGAGAAAGTAGATTTTTGTAAGTTGCAGAAGAAAACAGCTTTATAGCACAATTTTTTTTGAAAACAGTGAAAAGTAGTAACCAAACAAAAACTGTGGTTGCAGTTTGAAAAGCAAGTAGCAAGAAAGCTGGTCCAAACGAAACCTTAGTTTGAATCGGGGCAACTTAACTTGAACCTGATTTTTGGATATTTGGATTTAAATAAAAATAATAACCTTTAAAATATTAACTATCTTTAAATTTATATTTTTAATTTTCTTTTTATTTTAAACATAACTAATAAATTTGTTTTGTTTCTCATAGTATTAAAAAAAATACTTATACATATATTTTTTATTTATTTAGCAATTCATTTATTATTGAAGATGGTTGGGTATTTTTCAGAACATTGGAATAACTCATTGAAATTCATGCATGCTAAGATTAGTAAAATATATTAAAATTATTTTTTCATAAGAAAATTGAAAAGAAAAAGGCAATTAATCTACAAACAAAATCACATCACCTCATATTAAATAATTCATTTATCATCAAACCTTAATTAGAATATAAAATAATTAAACATTTAATCAAAATATTTCAATATTGTTTTACATATAAATAAATTTTTTTGTATTTGAAATAAAATAATTTAGTAGGGTATTTTATTTTGTAATGAAATACTTTCATATTATGACCTAAATTTAATCAAAATGCATTCTTATTAATTATTATTTTTAATATTATTTGTAGATCCATGAAATAATATTTGAACATGCAAAATATAAAATAATTTCAAAGGGAAATTAAAGAATTACATAAATGCCATCGTAGCTCTAAAACAAGTGATTCATATCAACATAACTATGCTTCTCCTATAGTTTTCTTCATATCTTACATGTAAAAGTTCCCAAATATATTCCAAAAAAATGATAGCTTATATAAATCTATTTGTAAATAAATATTTATAATATTTAATTAAGAAGAGTTGAGGTCAAATTTGTGCTTCTTAGGAATAAAGGCCAGGGGCACGTGCGAGTCGCACCTAGGGCACCGCGGAATCGCCTTCGACACCAGCACGTATAAAAGGCAGCTGGGGCACGCGGCCGCCATCATCCCGCCGGTCGAATCAGATCGTCCATCGTCTTCCTCCGCCACCGAGCGCCGCTTCATCGACGTCGAAGTCGTCGAAGAAGACGGCGACACTGACGCTGACGATGCCGCCTCCGCCCGGCCCGCCCGCTCAAGTGCCGACTTCACCTTCTCCAGCGTACAGACGCTCTGGAAATCGCCGCGACTTCGTCCTCCGCCGCCGAAGTCGCTACCGGCGAGCTTGAGATCGAGGAGCGCGGAGTTCTCCGGGAGGGCAATTGAGGAGGAAGATGGAGGAGGGAGATTGAGGTCGTGAAATCCGTGGAGCGAGCAATCCGAGTCCATCTTGTGCAGGTATGTCTTCCCCGACTGCAATAAAGGCTAGGGTTAGGGTTTTGGGGACATTTTTGGTTTCTGAATCAAAATTCTGTGGATAAAAATTAGAGACTTTGTTTCTTCTCGATTGATTAAGCGTTATTCAAATATCATTTTTTTTTTTATGAAAAAACTATTCATAGCTTAATATAATATTATTAAAAAAACTAATTTATTTAAATTAAATCAAAATTAATTATTAATATGAAGTTATAATATATAACATATTTGTTGTTTATTAATAATTATATTTAATTCATTTTATCAATTATTATACTGCTAATTAAAATATACAAATTATAACAAAAATTAAAGATGATCGACTGCTCGAGCTCATCAAATTTTGATTATATTTTGCATCTTCTAATTAATGGGATAATAATTGATAAAAATATTAATTGTAATTTATCATAGTTGATAAAATTAATTGATATTTTTTAATTTAATTTATCTAAATCAAAATTTTTAAGTAATGTTGAAAACATATAAAAATATAAATAATTAAAACTAATAATAGGAAAAAAAACAGAGAAATAATCAAATAAATACTAAATCATCATTCAATGAATGTTTTATTAAAAATAACTGCAAATTATCAAATTCACGAATAAATTTATACTGATCAATACTTAACGTTTAAAAAAAATAGAAAAATTTGATTTTATTTTAAAATCAAACAAATTTATGAAAATTTACAGTATTCTTTGAATTAACAGACAAAAATTTGCCTCATATCTATCGAATTGCATTAGTGAAGGAATTACCATCAGATCTAGATGCCGTTCCCATCCCGACGGCACCTGGAGGTCGAGGTCCACGGCGGATTCCTCGGCGGCCACTCCGGCTCCGCCGCCACCGCCGCCGAGGAGGTCACGTGTAAACAGATCCCGCTGTTTGCTCTCCGCCTCCTCCATAATCCGTAAAAGCGAGGTCACCTCGGTCGCCATGGGATCTCGGCGTTCCAACGAAGAGGAAGAAGAGAGGGCGAGGCGAGGCATAGAAGGAAAGCAAATAAATAGGCGCTGTGTGGGTTGCAGTTAATGTGCGGCGTAGATATTATTGCCACGGGGGACTTTGAGGGGAGGGCTGATGAGTAATTAATGAGTTTATTAAAAAAAAAGCAGCCATTTTTATTATTATTAGAGAAGTTAATTTGGTCATTGGAATCCGATGTGTGTAGGGACAATGGGTTCATTTATTGCACAGGAAAAAGTACAAGCTATCAAGCCATTAAGGTTGATTGGTGGTGGTCCTCCCTCACATTAAAGTCAAGCTTCATTATTTTCATCATCATTCATTTTTTTTATAAATAAATCATCTTTCCCTATATATGAACAATCATACATATAATTCAATGGTTATATGCATAATTAGTTGATAATTTATATTTATTTATGTAGAAGTTTAGTGTCTCAAGCATAATGAAATATATGCATAAAAGGATATGTTTTGTTTTATTAAAAAATAATATTTTTTGATGTGATTTTAAAATTTAGATGTTAGATATGTAAATATTAAAATTTAGGTGGTTGATTTGTAAAAAATAAGAATTATGTGGTACATATGTGACTCTACCTAATTTATATTCAATCATATGTAATCAATATAATTAACTATAACATATTTTTTTGATTTTACTAATAGTTTAATTTTTAGGTAAGTTGTTGGGTTCTAGTTTGATCTCACCTCTTTACCTACAAGTAGTTAATAAGAATATGGTGATATAGAGATTAATTTGTAACATAATTTTCTGAGAAAAATTATGGTTGATATGCGTTCATCAAGTTGTTGAATTCCATTGAAGATTTTTATTTTTTTTATTTATTTTATGGTCTCTCTCACAATGTTGATAGAAGAATTCATAAATAATTTTATTTTATACATTTTAAATTTACATTTATGGTAGTGTTTAATATAGCACAAGTACGTGCTCATCTCTAGAGTTCCACATCAAAAGCTTAAATTAGCATTATAATCATCACTATTGTAAATTTGAAAGAAAGGAAGATAATCATAACATTATCGAGCCCAGTGATATTAAACATATGCTTAAATTTAATGACCACTCCAACATCTATGTAGTGTATAGGCTTCAACATTCCATATTTAGGTTTTGTTTGGGACGGCTTTCTTAATGCTTCTTAAAGCAATTTTCAAGTATAAAAATTTAATTTTTGTTATAAAAAACTATTTTAAGAGGCAGTAATAAATCCCAAACGAAGTCTTAATCGAAGCAAGACATAGGAGAGGGAAAAGCAACTCAAAAGTCTCTCCAAAGTCCAATGTTGAATTAGTTTTAGTTTTTGTCCTATTTTTTTGCCACATAGGTTAGACTCAAGCCTTGATTGTCCCTCTTTAATCTTATGGCTTTCAGTTGACACTAAGATCTATGCTTATCACCTTTTGACCCATAAACATCATTAAGAATTATTCATATGACAACGTGCCGCATTTGACAATTGAGCTTGATACGTCATCAAAAACAGTTTGGATCAAGCACGAATCTCAAGTTGATTCCTAAATCAAATCATGCGGAAGAGATCTCTGACTTCAGGCCTATTTCTTTGTGCAATACGGTTTACAAAATTATTGCTAAAATTCTAGCTCTTAGAATGAAACCTATTATGCCTCTGATTATTAAAGAAAACCAATCTGGTTTTATTCAAAATCGGGTATCCACTGATAATGTTATTCTTGCCAACGAGATTCTTTTTCACTCTAGAAAAGTCTCTCAATTTAAGATGCTTTGTGCTAAATTAGATATCAAAAAGGCATTTGACTGTGTTTCCAGGGAGTTTCTTCTTGCTAGAATGCATCAAAAGGGGTTTCCTCCTTCCTTTATCAACTGGATCAATGCTTGTATAAATGATGTCTGGTTCTCGATGTGTTTTGATGGAGCCTTGCATGGTTTTTTTCCTTCTTCCGCTGGTTTGAGGCAGGGATGCCCGTTAAGTCCATACCTATTTTGCATTGTGATGGATGCATTTTCGTGCCTTCTGGACAATGATAATGCTTTTATTGCTCCTATGGTGGACGGCATTAGGCTTTCTCATTTGATGTATGCGGATGATCTCCTTATTTTTGGCAAAGCTGATGCTAATAATTGTCAGGTTTTATGCAATCTGATTGAGGTTTTTTCTATAGCTTCGGGTCTTGAGATTAATTATCAGAAAAGCACCCTCTTGCTTCCCAAACACTGTCAGAATTCTGAAGAGATCAGATCTTGCCTTCAAATCCCCTCTACATCCACTTCTATTGCTTATCTTGGGATTCCAATTTCTCCTTACAATCCAAAAATTGCTGATTTCTCTAAACTGATGGAGTCGGTCACTCAAAAGTTATCTGGTTGGAAGGCCAAGGCTCTCTCTTTTGCTGGTAGACTGCAATATCTTAGATTCACTATTTGGAATTCCATTGCCTATTGGATTCGAGGTTCAATAATACCAAAGACTATTATCAAGCAAATTGAGAAATTATGTGCTAAATTTCTTTTCTTTGGGGACATTAAGGCTACTAAATTGCATCTTATTTCTTGGAAAGAAACATGTAAGCCCAAAGCATTTGGGGGGCTTGGGATTCAGTCTATACATTCTTTGCAATTTAGTTTTAATTGCTCTCTTATTAAGAGGTTGTACAACTTCAAAAGTCCTCTAGCTTCTTGGTTTTTTTATAAGTATGTCTCGCCTTGGAAGCCTCACTCGGTTAACGACTCTAAATTTTGGAAGAATGTATGCATTACTGCTCTCAAAGCTAAAGAGAAATTCATTTTTAATCCTTCTAGTAATGGTCCCATTGCATTATTCTGGGATCACTGGTGCAACCGTGCCCTTATTTTGGACATTGCTGGCTGGAGTGAGTTGTTAACTTTCTTTCCTAGTAATGCTCGGTTGTCTGCTATTAAACATGATGATGGGTGGAATCTGCCTTCCACGTATTCTGATGCTTTGCTTCCTGATGTTGGGAGGAATGGGGGAAATAATGCTGATTGTCTTATGTGGGAAGGGGAAATTGGTAACTCTCACAGCATTTATTATAATTTTCTTTATAATAGTGAGCCTCGGTGTAATTGGGATCATTTTATATGGCATAAACATTACTGTCTCAGATTTTCTTCCTTCAGTTGGATGGCTTTAAAGGGTGGTCTCAAAACAGCGGATGTGTTATGCTCTAGAGGGATTTTGGTGCCTAATACCTGCTCTCTTTGCCATAATCAATTAGAGACTATTTCACACTTATTCTTTGAGTGTGATTACTCCTTTTTAGTTATCTCTAATCTTGTTCCTAGTATGAGGCAGCAATTATTTAGGCCTAATATCTTACAAGCATTTGAATGCTTTACTCATCATTCTAGAGATTTAAAGCACTTTTACTACCTTATTATTTGCTGTACTATTTATCATCTTTGGAGAGAAAGGAATGATAGGAAATTCGGCAATGCATCTTCCTCTTCTTCTTCTTTATGTCTCAAAATTAAAGGTGTGGTGCTTACTAAATTACTGAGATGGAAAAATGGTTATGCCTTAATGGAGCTGCTTTGATGGCTGGCTGTTATTGCTTACTTCGGGACTGTTATGGGAGGTTTTTTGTTCAGCTGAGGTTGTTGTTTCTGTTGAATTCTGCTGTTATTTGGCCTTGGCTGAAGGCTTCTTTTGGTCGGCTGGATTATTCAAATCATATCCTTGGTTTCCTCTTTTGGGAGCTAGGAAAGCTGCTTCGGGCCCTGAAGGTTTTATTGGGGACGATGATGACTACTGTTGGATCTTCTTCCCCTTGGAGGGTCGATCAAAGGCAACCAGGGGATTTTTTTGGAGGCTTCTCTTTCGATGGGTATATGCTGGTTCAGCAGCCTGAGTCCCCAAATTTTAAATTCAAAATTCAAAGATCAAAAGCTCACGATCGGATTGCTTCACTTACCACATTTTTGGTGCTTTTATATCCTTTTGTAGGTATTGGGTGGTATAGTTGTGGTTTTTTGTGGTCTGCATAAGGTTTTTTTGTTTGCCTTATGTAGGCTTTGCTTCCTTTTATTTACAGTCTTTACTTGTAACCTCTTTCTTTCATAATAGTTGAAGGGCTTTCGCCCCAAACATTCCCCAAAAAAAAAAAAAATGTGAGCAAACAAAATCATGCATAACGATATTAATGTATTACTTAATTTTAAGTTAAAAAAATGTATTATATTAAACAAATTCTACCCAAGTTGAAAATACACGCAAAAATAAGATAAGAAAATGAAAAGAATTATGCTAAGAAAGAGTAATGTACTAGTTAGTTAAAATGATTTTGTTTACTAAAATTGTTGCCAGTTGAAAATTAATGCATACATATGATAAGCATATGTGGAATTAAATTAAATTTTTTAATAAAAAAATGATATTGACGTGATTTGATAACTCCTTGACCTGCATCCACATCCAGATCAACTAGGGAGCACGACTTCCAATAAAATATTGTGAACACAAACTATCAACCTTCACTACAAAGTAATAAAGTAATAAAGTAAACATTAATTCTTCCACCAACATCCTCCTTAATTAATTAATAATGAAGGCATAGACTGCACTTTTCTTTTAAAGATAGAAGAAATTTTCTCTTAATTTTTTGCACTATATCACATTATTTATACTTCATGATGAGGAACCCATCACTCGTTGCACAATTCACTAGGTTTTAATATAACCATTAAAACCCAATTAAAATCTTCTTATGCTTTTGAGGTGACACAATGGCTATCATTTATAAAAATGGTGTATATAATTATGAAGTTCTTTGATTGCTATAAGAAGAGTGCAATCAGTATAATATGTAAACTATGAATGATAAAGGGCAAGAAATAGCACTTTAAAAATAGTCAAGAGGTTCTTTAAATTAATTAAGAACACTTTAGAGCTTTCTTCAAATGTTTTCCAATATATCTCAAACTAAATGCGCTCATTTTCATATTTTTATTCGCTTTAATTTACAATAAACTCACGCCCTCGGGTTTCCAAGGGTGCAGTCACTTCAAATAAATAATAATGGAT